AGCCATCAGTGCCTGATTCCCTCCATCATTCTTTAATGATCATTTCTTGTTATTCAACATGAATGAGAAACTTCATATTAGTTGCTGATTTAAAATACCTCTTTAATCTCTAACAATTACAGGAATGGCCAAGGGACTCTACTTACCTTTGTCCTTTTATAGACTGAAACTTGTTGATAAGGTACATAAAATTTTTTTAAAAAACCAAAGCTTTTTCATACCATGTTCTTCAAGGCCATGATATTGGAGCAGTCACCATATAAGTCATCTGGAAGCCACTGGGAGACTCATCAGCCACAAAATATAAGGCAGTATGTGGTTTGTGTCAGGTCAAGGCAGTAGGTCGTTTGTGTCAGTACAGGGGTTTCAAGTGGACAGCTGGGTGTCTCGGGCTGTGGTGGGGTACCATGAGTTCCTCCACACTCTGTGGCCAAGTGCTGAGATGCATGGAACCAGCCTTTGTGCCCAATGTGAAGTCATGACACAGGAGTGGGCTGTGTGGCTAGCTGCTTCTTGCTAATGACAACCACCCTGCATAGGCCTCTCCAGGGCCTTGTGATGGAAGCGGATGGAGAGATCACATCTATCCTTTGCCGTGGTGGCGGTGGTGAGTATCACACTGAAGGCCTTTCACCCTGGTAGGCCAACATTAAATATATAAAGATATACACCATATATAGAGGCAAATGCTAAATTTCCTAAATATCAGTTATAACCAGTGAAAAAATAAACGAAACAAACAATTTTATCCTGAATAGCAGCGATAATGAAGCAACTAGGAACAACTTAGGCAGAAATATCAAATAGGACTAGGACTCAATGATAGAGCCCTTGCCTGGTATGCACAGGGTCTTGGGTTTGCTCCCCAGTCCATCTACCCCATGCACACACACACATCTGCACAGAAACATGAGAGATTTATGTTTACACATGACAAGAGTGGACTACAAAATATAAATGAAGATTTAATATAAGCTTTACCATGTTCTTGGATGGGAGAACTGAGCAGTATAAAGATTCCCAATCTCAGCCAGTTTTTATTAACCAGATCACTCAACTTCTTGGAGGTCAGTTTCTTTGTATATGCAATGTGTATCCATGAGAGCTCTGAAAGAGACCCACTAGCTGACATATTCCATGACATCTTCATGAGTTCCCTATCTGACCTATTCCACACCATTTTCTTCAGTCATATCAGCCTTTACGTGGCCAACTTAGCCAATGACCTGGATGTAAGTCTTTGGCCCTTCCTCTCCCACCAACGTCATCTCTCTTTGCTATGATCCAACAACCCATTCCCACCATCATATCTTGCCCGTGAAATCCTTGGTAAAATGTTTAGTTTACTTTAGAGCACAAAAACAAAACCAGATTCTTTACAGGGAAAAAATGAAAACACTAATACCCTTTAAAAAAGAAAGGGACAAAAAAGAATCAAAATCACTCATTATGATAGGAATAACAGAACCTACCTCTATGTGTGTGTGTGTGTGTATGTGTGTGTGTGTGTGTGTGTGAGAGAGAGAGAGAGAGAGAGAGAGAGAGAGAGAGAGAGAGAGGAAGCCCAGAAGTTGAAACCTGAGAGAAGGCTTAGCTCTGATTTTTCCAGAATTGGCCTCTCTACAGGACATTTACAATTCCAGCTGATGAGATCACAGCCCGGAGGGTATTTTTCTGGGAAAGGCCTATCCAACTGAAAAAGGAACTCTGGTGGAAGCTCAGAAAATATGAGTTCTATCCCAGGCCATGATGAAAACCATTATGTCCACCTCTGTTGAACAAAAGATCCAACGTCTTCAAGGTCTCTCGCTCTGGAATGACCATTTCCCTATAATTGTTATAAAAGTAGAATTTGGGGAACAAGCAGCCTCAAAAGAGTCCGCCTTGGGGGCTGAGAATGTGGCTTAGTGGTAGAGTGCTTGCCTAGCATGCATGAAGCCCTGGGTTCAATTCCTCAGTACCACATACACAGAAAAAGCTCAAAGTGGTGCTGTGGTTCAAGTGGTAGAGTGCTATCTTAGAGCAAAAGAAGCTCAGGGACAGTGCCCAGGCCTGAGTTCAAGCCCCAAGACTGGCAAAAAAACAAAAAAAAAAGAAGAAAGAAGAAAGAAAGAAAGAAAAAAGAGTCAACCTCTGCAGCTGGGTTGTTTCTGCCATCACAGCAAAAGTCTGGACCCCATCTATCCTCTGTCATCCAGAAGACTGGCTGTATGAAGATTCATGACCCTGGTGGCATTAGGGGTGCATTTTAAATCAGCTGCTATGAAGATAAACAGCATTTCTCCATTTCTATTTTCTGTGCTCCTATGTATGACACCTCGATTTCCATTTCTGAGTGATATGGAAATAGCTCGCGTCACTTCCAATGTCGGTGTTTGTTAGCACCCGGGCAGAGAGAGAATGCCCATCTGAACTGGCAGAGATTAAATAATTGAGATGGACATAAAAGCTTTTTATGCTAGTCTTCTCACATTTCATTTGCGTACGATCCAACCTTGTTTGATGCCTTCCATTTCCTCTTTGGAGCTGGTCAGGAGCATGCTGCGATATCATTCACAGCCGTTTGGTACTGGTTCTTTGGCAAGGGAATGAACTGTCTTTGGAAAGTGGCAGGTTCACATGGCCTTATCAGCAGAATTCAGATTCTGTGACTCTTTGTTTGGCTCCCTGAATACTGGGCTCCAACACCTGCCAGGCTCTATGCCTGAGCGAGTGTGGCCACAGCCTCTGTCTCAGTAAATCCCCCCTCACCCTCCATCCCCGCCTTGACTCATTCAGTTTGTTCCCTCATGGGCTGTTTGAGGGACTAGCTAGTCTCTGAGCTGTGATTGGCGTGTGTGGCAGGCGTGGGACACAGGTGCACTTGTGGTCTCTGGGCACGTGCACAGAAACTAGACATCCTGACACAGTGTAGGGAGAAACCTTCGAACAAAAAATGAAAATCCCAGCCAATGATGAGAGCAGTATTTACACAGGACCTTCATTCAAACCTCAACTACGTCTGTGCACACAGATGCAGACGAGCAAGCTGTGAGGAGTCCTAAGGGTCTGGGTGTCTCATGTGTGTGCCCCGCCCCCACGAACACACCAACACCCAAATGTTTAACAAGAGAAATCTGCTGGAGAAGTTGAGTCTCCATTCTCATCTCTGATGCCAAGTTTCTTCACTATGAATGAAGGAGCCTACAACACATCAGATGACAATCCAGTCTCTGGAACCTCGCCTATCTGGGTTTGATTCTTGCCTCTTCCTTTTTCTCATTCCCCTCCTAAGAGAAACTTAAGAAGAGGTAAGAGGACTGTGTTGGGCACATCCAAGGAACTTCATTATGAGCAGAGCCTGGGCTACTAGCCATTGGTTTCTGGGTAACAGCAGCTAATGGCTTCCGAGGCCTCTGGTACACCCAGCAGCTGGGAGGTAGCTGACGAATTCCAGACAGTGGTCCAGAAGAGAGACTATGGAGGCTGTGGAGGATTGCAGAAGAACTAAGAAGGCAAGAGGATGGAAGAGTCAAGACAGCACGCCTGAGCTACTGGACTGTTCCAGAGAGAATCTTGACTAAGTGTGAAGATCTCAGGGTACTGACACCCAACACTAAGGAGCTGGAATTTGAGCTTGCTTGATAGCAAACCCGACTCTTTGTTCCCTTTGTTACCGTGCTATTCTGCACTAAAACGAATCAAAACTAGCTTTGTTTTATTCATCCAAGTGTTCATAGGGTTAAGCCACGATCTAAGGTAGGTGTGTGACCACCATTACCTTTCAAAATTCTTTTCCACAAACGTGTTCATAAGTGAAGAGTAACATCAAGAGAAGTGTGTGTCCTTCCTTTCCATCTCATCTGGTTAATTAATCAGCCCACACCCTTGCTGTTGGCTCAGAGATAGGAAGATTTGCATAATGTCCTGGTTGCCATGACTGATAATGTCCTCCACTGGTTAGCTCTGAATGGAGAAGCCATGTAAAAGCTGTAAATGACCACATGAATTATGCATCAAGGACTCAACTCAAGCCATGCATATAAAATGGGCATTAAGAACACAACCTTGACTCCCTTATTCCTTTGTAAATAGCCCCATGCAGGGCTTGTTAGCCTAGTCTTGCAGCTTTCTCCTGCCACAAAATTAGAGTTTGAATGACTGCTTTGAACTAATTGACAAAATGGAAACTACTAAGACAATAAAGTTTTATAAATGCAGTTGGCTAATACTCATAATAACAACATGCCTTTTGAAATTTCTGTGTCTCTTGTAGAATATTCTGTGCGTACAGTGACTGGTGAAATCTGGTCCCTTCCTTTTCCCATTAGTTAAGAAGAACCAGTTTCAGAGTGGCGAGTAACTTGTGAGAAGCTCAGGAAGATCCATACTTGTATTTGTTAGTAGGTTCCTGAGAAATGGAACAAATTGGAGACAAAGGGAGGATGCTAAAAGTCCCTGTTTGAGAGTCAGGAGTGCTGGTATAGCTGTCCCTGGCCCTCACAGGATTGGGTAATACCAATACTACATTAATACCAATACTACGTTAATATCAATACTACATTAGGGGAGGTTGCATCTTCTTTGCTCAGTTTATTGGTTCACACTAACTTCTTCCAGAGACACCCTCACAGATACACCCAGAAACAATGTTTTACCAGCAATCTGGGCAACCCATAGCCCAGGTAAGTTGATGTATGAAATTAAGTCTTCTCTGACTAGGTCCTGGTTTATCTGGCTTGTTCCGTGTCCTCTCTTCCTTTCATCCTTCACTTTTTAGAACTTAGCTTCTTTTTGTTTCTTGGAAACATTATGCTTGCATCCACCTCAGACCTCTTTTGCCTGTCATAACCCTACTACCCCACCTTCACCTTTTAATTGCCTGGTCATTTCTAGTTCTTATTTTTTATGTTTTAAAATATATTTATTACTGTGCCCATTCTTAAAGTTACCAAGAAAAAATCAGTTAAAAAAATGTCCAGCTGTCAGTCAGGCAGTAGAGATATTTCAGCTTGACTGGTTCATGGTAGAGCATGGGCATCTGGTAAAATTCCATACAGACCCCGCTTGGTTCTCCTCCAGTGTCTTCTCTTGGAATTGTGTCTGATTTTGTTACCAGTTTTCATCCAAATCCACTGGGGAATGGGAGATTTTGCTTGTTTCTTGGCCAGAAACCGCTTGATTCTGAAAGTCTTGTGAGAAGACATGGTGAGAAGCCCAGACAGGCACAGTAACCACAATGGTGAACAAAAGCCAAAGAGTCCAGTTCTTGTTAAACATGATCTCCCTCAGACAATCCTTCTCTGGCCACTCAGGCTGAGTTAGCAGTTCTAGTTACATCACTTAGTTTTCGTATCACCTTTACACTTCCAGATATTTTCTTGTTTGTTTGATGTTTTATCATCTGTCTTTCCCTAACACTATAAGCTACACAAACAGCAACCTTCTCTGGTTCATTCTCCATTGCCCGATGCTAGCAGATACTTAGGGTCTGGTACGGGAGCAAATGCCTTTATAAACTTTCAATCAGTCAGATTAGAAGCACATGCTGGTTTATTTCTACTTGAATTGATTCAGGCATTTTATAAAAACAATTTTTTTTCTAGTTAACGTCAGTTCATAGTTTACAAAATAATTACTAGACGAGTTAGCTAAAACTTCAGCTTCAGTAAACCTTTTATGGGCACAAATCAAATTTCAGACTCAGATGTTCCCCAAAATATCATCTGAGGTGCAGTGGTTGAGCTTAGGACTGCCTTTCCTTTTTTCTCTGTAAGCTTTTTAATTTTTTTGTTCAGTTGTGGGGCTTGAACTCTGGGCTTGGGTGCTATCCCTGAGCTCTTCAGCTCAAGGTAGCACTCTACTATTTGAGCCACAGCGCCACTTCCGGTTTTCTAGTGGTATATTGGAGATAAGAGTCTCACGGACTTTCTTGCCTGGGCTGGCTTTGAACTGTGATCCTCAGATCTCAGCCTTCTGAGAGGCTAGGATTACAGGCGTGAGCCACCGGTGCCTGGCATTCTGTAAGCTTTTTTTTTTTGAGCATTCCATCACACAGCATGTCCTCCCCTCCCAGGTTCACCCCCATCCCATTCACAGCACTCAGTATCTTAGTGGCTCTCAAGGCCTTGGACAGGGTAGACAGCATCTGTGCTAAGGCTGAGCCCAAGGAAAGCCTGGGCCTAATTTTGTTCCCAGCAGCAGCAGTGGGCTGGCTGGTGGAATTCAAATCTCTTTCCAGGATGCCTAAAACACAGGAGGTGCTTCCCCTTTTCTCTGTGGTTGAGATCGCCCAGTGAAGTCACTCCTAGCTAGAAACTGGTCGCAAAAAGATAACAACCAGATCCCCTTATATCTCCTAAGAATTTTCCACAAAACAGAGAGATTCTGCCAGCTGAGATGATGACTAATTCTTTTTCCTTTTATGCCAGTCCTGGGGCTTAAACTCAGGGCCTAGGCACTGTCCCTATGCTTGTGTGCTCAAAGCTAGTGCTCTACCATTTTGAGTCACAGCTCCATTTCCAGCTTTTTAATAGTTAATTAGAGCTAAGGGTCTCATGGACTTTTCTTCCCTGGGCTGGTGCACGTTGAGACAGACCAGGAGGCCCCTCATGGCCTCCTAAACACAGGTGAGGCAGGGTGTGAGCTGGCTGGGTGTGGGGCCGGGGCATCAGGAGAAGCCCTCATGCAGCCTGCCTGATGATGCACTACCAAGCTGCCTAGTGTACCCTGGGCACTGTGTGGGGCTGCGGCTCTGGCTGCTGGCCTTCGGGGGCGAGGTTGGCTCAGGTCAGGTTCAGAGGCAACAAGAGCAGCAGGAGCGCATCTCTACTTTGAACTATGATCCTCAGCTTTCAGCCTCCTGAATAGCTAGGATTCCAGGCATGAGCCATCGATACCCAGCCCAGCTCATTGATGATGCCTACTTGTAACCATTATTGCTAGATTGACCTATAACAACCTCCTTTATCTAGCAACCCATCTTAGCATCTGTTCACCAGTTAAAATGATCATATACTGATTAAGAGAGTCTACATGTCTTCTTCCTCTGAACAAGGCTATAAACCTTAGAAGAATTATATCTTTAACATAAAAATATGGTTAAAAAAATCTCACTTTCCTCAACAGCAGCTATGCCTTTGCTTCTCCCTTGGAAAACCTGTTGGTGTTGAGAGATTGTCTGGAAAAACGTAGCCTGAGTTGGGGCACTGGAATTACAGTGAAGAATCATGGGGTTGCTTTCTAAGGGTGACTTGGAAGAGGGGTGTGGACACCCTTGTCCCCAAATCTATCCCGTCTGTAAAGAGCTTTGTCCTTAGAGGTTAACTCCCTTCCGTCTCAAAATCCTGTCTACCTTTTGGTAATTTTGGTAAAGGACAGTTCTCCCAAAGATTGGAGAATTCTAAGACATTCTTCAGGTGGTGGGTTATGGGCCATAGATCATAGACCCTTATATCCAATCCTCAGAACCCCAGAGGAGAACTCTTGGGGTCGTGAGACTTGTCTAGACTGGCCTGAAACTTGCTGTCCTCAAATTTGCAAATCCTCCTTTCTCAGCCCTTGGAGTGCTGGGATTACGTGAGTATACCACTGTGCTTGGCTTCACACTGCTCCTTTTCATTGTCAGTGACCTACTAGTAGTGCCAGTATCTCGCACATGCTAAGTCTTCAATACTTTTTTTTTTTTTTCTGAATGAATGATCCACACGGCTAGATGCTTCCAAGCCCAGAAGTGAGGTAAGTGTAAATACTGATGAAGATTCACTTGGAGAGACAGTGTCCCTAAGGAAGGAGGGCTCCAGGCCTTCTAAGTGCTTACTGCTGCCTGTGGATCAACATGGTAAAAAGGAGAGGAAGTGAGTGCTGAGTGGTTCAGGATCCATCGACTTTTTCAACTTTCTTTTCTCTGTTCTGCCAGTGAGTCCATGTTCCTGCTTGGGTGCCCGGATGAGTTGACTTTAAACAGCTTCTTCTCACTGCCAATCAGTCCAATTCTCCCTTTTGCCAGGGGACCATTTGAGATATGAGTTCTGAAGATGAATCTGGAAACGGCGTCTTTAATCAACCAAGGGAGTTGAGGCTGGCATCTGGGCTGTCTGTGTCCTAGATAATGACAACTTGATTTTCTCAGCTCCTTTCTCCCCTGGCATTTGATTGCTGCCCAGCGTGAGGAGGCTGGGCGATGCCTCTCAGGTGCACGCTGAGACAGACCCGGAGGTGCCTCATGGCTTCCTAAACACGGGTGAGGCAGGGTGTGAGCTGGCTGGATGTGGGGCCAGGGTGGGGGGGAGCGGGCATCAGGAGAAGCCCTCATGCAGCCTGCCTGGTGATGTGCTACCAAGTGGTCTAGTGCACTGTGTGGGGCTGCGTGCTCTGGCCGCTGGCCTTCAGGGGTGAGGTTGGCTCAGGTCAGGTTCAGAGGCGACAAGAGCAGCAGGAGCGCATCCTTATCCAGCACCGACTGTGTTCAAGGAAGAGTCCAAGGTGCCCAGGCACGTCTGGAGTGGTCGATTCTCAGAGCGGCCCCCTGAAGGCAGGCACAGGTGGGTGTTTGGTGGTTTGCTTAGGCAGTTCTGGGGTTTTGAACTCAGAGCCTTGTGCTACCATTTAGAGCACATCTCCAACCCTTTATGCCTTGGTTATTTTTCAGCGATGGTCTTGTATTTTTTGCCTGGGTCAATCTTGGCCCACAGTTCTCCTACCTATCCATTTTGCCTAGTTGGGATTACATATACTAACACACTTGGCTTGTCTTTAAGGGAGGGCCTCACTAACTTTGTTTAATCAGACTGGCTTTGAACCGTGATCCCCCTTTTTCCACCTCCCAAGTAGCTGGGTTTATAGGTGTGAGCTACTGTATCTGGGTTATAGGAAACACTGTTCCAGGGCTAGGCTTTACTAGTTCTCTCCGCATTAGAGAGTAATGCTTTAACAAGAGCTCTCTGCTTTTGCGTCCCTCATTTCAGAGGATCTCTATCTATCTGACTGCCCCAGGTTTGACCTCCATCCTTCCTTCATTTCCTGATAGGAAATGACTCCTGATCAGTGCTATAGGATCTGAACTCACAGCCTTCCCCCAGAACCTTAGTGTTGGCTTGGGGGGTCACATGGGTGTCCACAGGCTTACAGGATCTGGAGTTAGAGAATGTGGTTGGCTGGCAACACCAGGCCTTTGGTAAAGCAGGGGTTTAGCACCAGGAAGTGGCCAAATGTGAATGTGCGAGGCCCATTCGCGTTCTGCTGCTGTCGTGCAAATGCTCTCTCAAGTCCTCATGCAATATGGCTACTTTTTTGAAAATCTATGTGCAGTAGCCCCGGTGAAATACCCCTGCAAGCACAGCCTCTCACAGAGGAGGTACCGGTTTCTCTGCCCAGAGAGCCACTCTTCCCACAAGTTCTTCACTTCTGTATCACATATTAGTTCTATACTGCATCTACTTGGCTTCTCAACCCCCCTGCTTTACCAGAAAACCCGTGTCTACCCCTCCCCACCCCACCTCCTGTGTCAGCACTTCATACCATCCCGCCTACTACTGCTAGTTCTCACTCATTCTCATTTCCTTGTGTTTCCCTGCTGCTTCCTTATTCAGACCCCAGGGGGGCATGGCAACTCCTCAACCCCCAGTGCTTATTAGCCCAAAGAGGGCAGAAAACAAGCAGCTCAGGAACAGATTCATGGTGGATTCTATTCCAGAGTGCACAGACACCAGTCGAGGCCTTCTTTAAATGGCTTTTCATGATACAGTTTATGAGTCTTATGGCTAAGAGTAAGTTTTGTGTTAAGTGTGGTTTAGGGTTCATCTGGATGCTTCTCACAGTCCCTGGACTCCTCAGCTACCTTCCTGGGCACACACGGTCTCCTCCACCATCAGCATCCCACACACCAGTGCGGTTCATTCCTGACCGTTGTTCTCATGTTGACCCTTTACTTTCCTCCCAGGGTCATAGTTTCCATGAGGTATTGTGAGTTCTATGAGTATAATGTACAGTGACCTGGACCCACCGTTACAGCATCATTCGAGATAGATTTGTCACAAATGGCTGGTGGGGGTTCGCTTGCACTATTTAGGCAGAAATTACAAATAAGTGCAGCTTCCCTGTGCTGGCGGCCCTGAGCTCCCATGTGTCAGAGGCTTTATGTGCTAGATTCTCAAATGTCAAATGCTAACTCGGCCCTGAGAAACAGAGAACTCTAACTCCAAGCTTTCAAACCTAGAGACATTGCTGCAGGCTCTCAGGTCAGATCAAACTCTGTCAGTACCA